CATTGCACAGGGGTTGGATATCCACATTCTACCCCTACCACAGAATCACTCTCTGCTTAGTAAGCATGTTGTCATTACTCCCTTTTGTCAGGATTTTTTTACTCTTGACCTAATTTCATTATCCTGTTGTTGTGTAAAGACTTTGTCTGTCACTCACACTTTCTATATGACCTCCTTTACTTGCTGCTTGAGCAAACCTTCTGAGTAGACACAATAATCTATGCCTCAGTCAGGTCCTCACTGGCCTTGGCAAAGAGGAGTTGCTGTCAAGCAACTTCCTTTTAAAGCTCAGCACCTTGTGGAGCACTAAAAACCAGTTGGATGACAAGGAGTAGGAAAGTAAGTACACAAGCCACACTGTCCAAGGGTCAGGTCATTCCTTGTTTTTCATGTTGTCCCATCTGCTGTCACACTCATGAAGAGCCATTTCCCACAGAGGGCCTATGCACTGCAGTCACACCATTTCTCCTCTCCTTTCCCCCCCCCTTCCCAGTACATCCAGTTTTTCCATAACCCCTTTGGCTCCCACATATCCTTAGGTCCCTCCCCTCTATAACCCCAGCTAGAGGCTGTTCAGCCTGTGCCTGGAGAGTGGGTGGTGGAGCTCTCCCCATGTGTGTTGAACACACAGTACAAGCTTTTCCAAATTAGGTCTCATTGAACCATCTGACTACTAATTATTTCCTTATGAAACAACTATAAAATAAGTTTGATATCTGTCAGGTTTGTTCCAAATCTGTCACTTGGCTTAACTGTTTGTAGAGCAGATGCCTGAATCCTTAGCAGAGGCTGTCTTATACCTTCTGTCCTTAGGACAACAGGCTAAAGTATGTGACTGTGAGGTACCATGTATGGCCAGGACTGTGTGGCAGAGCTGCAGTTGCCCTGTGGTGGTCAGAGGAGGGAGAAGTTGCCTTCTATTTTTGGCCTCTATTTTTATTATCATTTAATAAACATGTTAAACATTTATTTGTTAGTAATCCTGTATTGTTGCAGTTGCTTTGTATTATGAACAGTAATCAATCCTATGAATTTTAGTAGCATTTCATTTTAATTAGGACTGCAGAATAATTCTGTAGTTTTAGTTTGGCAGTTGACAAAATATAATTTGTATTAAATATATTAATTCCGGTGCCTAGGACACTTATCCTGAGTTGTTATGGGAAACTGAGACACCTCCTCCTTTGCTTTATCAGCCAAGTGAAAACTGGTTTTTAGTCAAAACTGCTTTGTAAATTTAACTAAAGTTAGTTAATGTTTTAAATTGACCAGCACCATGATTTCTAGTACTTTATCTGTATATATTCTGTCTCCTTTACTTCAAGTAATTGCAGCCCCAACAATCTTATTGTGCTATTGCTTCTCATTTATTGTTTATAAAGAATAGCCCCACCACATGGGAAGGACAATGAAAAAAATGCTGTTTTGGCCCTTTAGTGCTTATTCTTCGTTTCCTGGTCTTGGGAGGGCTTACCATTCATGTATAACTGCCTCATAAAATTACCTTTATATAAGAATAAATATCTATGGTAACATACAGAAAATTATTTACATGTGAAATAAAGCCATGCAGGCTCTAGGAAGTGAAAACATGCACATTCATTATCTGTGCTTTGTCATTGACAGGGGGAGGTTGCAGTGTGCAGGTATTGTAATACAGACATGCAGCATTCCCAACAATGATGTTATCTATAAAATAGCAATGTGCACCGGCATAAAAGCAAAGGTACTCATGGCAGTATTGTCAGTTGAAGCCATAAATCTTATTAAACACAGATGTTATCTTTTGAATTGTACACTGCAAAAAGCACATAGAAGTTTCATGGAATAATTAATTTAGAATATCTGTTTGGTTCTTCCTATTTGCATTTGCTGTGCATTCATTTTAAAGCAAGTGTTTTAAATTACTCCTTACCTTCCAAGATAGAAACATGGCTTAGCACCAGCTCTCTCCTGTAAGGACCTCCACTTTAATACTTCTGCAGTTGGTCTTTCTGTTGTGGTTCCTCATGCAAAATGTTAGAGGACAGCAGCGGGTTACTTTGTTCCTGTTTGTTGGGTTTTTTTTAAAGAATGGGTTTGATAATTTACTCTAATTTTAGACTTTGACTATTTTTGGCGAGAGTCAGTTGGGTTAGGTCAATTGAACCTTGTACCAGCAGCTTCATTCAACAATCTTCATGAGCACAAATTCTCTGGTGGACTTTCCTTTCTCTTCTCTAAATAACCTCATGCTTTTTACTAATTTGTGGATAAAATTATGCATAGGTATTGAGTATTTGTAACGTTTAAAGATGCAACAAGCATTAGCTATGGCTAGATTTTTAGAAAACTTACACATTTCTCTCCTACCATTCACAGTGCTCTTTAGACTTTTGCAGAAATTCAATGATTCTATAAAACTTGATGTTGTGACAGAAGGTTTTGCCAAGAGCAAGTATTTATCATATTAAAAAATATCCATACCCATGTAATCTGATTTAAAGTGAAACATTCTTTTTCTCTTCGTGAAGTCAGTGTTTTTGAAGTACAGATTTCTGCAAACTCATCAGTTCAGAGCTTAAGGCCACAGAATGGTCTCATGCACATTACAGGTCATCAGATTGCATCTACATACTGGTCCCTAAGTCAGCAGGAGTCAAGCCCCAAGTGTAGCAAGCTCAGGGACTGGGGTGTCCTCAAGGAACTCAGTTCTGCGTCCATAAACTCTGACATGTGTCTGACACCAGTCTCAAAAGGCCACTACTGAACTTCATTCATTAAAACCATGTACAGGTTTCTGTTGTTTGTCAGTTCATGCTCCGTCACACTCCCGACAAGGCCAAGGTTTAACCTGATAACTCATTTCCGACAGGGCTGATCCACTTTTAGCAGGAGCAATGAACGTATCACAGAGCACTACCTGCAGTGGCAGGGAACTGTTTGGGGAGGCATGCCCTTCCCTTTCACTCCTTTCCCCTGTGGCTTCCAGCCAAACTGTGCTTCAGGCTGGTGAAATGCAGACAATGACAATGTTCTTGCCAAACCAATTCTTGCCTAAAGTCTGATGCTTCCATGTCCAGCCACCTAGCAGCAAGTGCCATCAGCCAGATCTTGAGGGGATTCACTGCCCTGCACCAACTGCACCAAATCCACAGTGATTCATAGGAAAGTCAGAGCCACAAGAGATATTGATAAGGCCCTGTGATGCAGCCATCCACAAGGAAGAAATATAGTCCTCCTGATCTCTGCAGGCAAGCAGCTCAAGCCACGCTTGATTGTACTTGCAGTGTCTTACACATTGCTGTCTTCAGAATTTATTTTGTGGCTTTACCTCCAGTCAGTTCAGATGTTTGTTTTCTCAGCTGCTTGCTGTCCCGTGCATGGAGTGTGAATAAACATTATGGACAAAGATTGCATCATCCTTTGGTTTGCAAATATGACATCAGTTTGGAGTAGACTCTCAGCAAAAGTTTTCTGGACCACTAATCTGAAAATGTTTACTTTGTTTAGATGGTCTTCTATGTCTTCCCTTGTTAGAGGAACTTTCTGGCTTGCTAGCAGTTCAGTAGGACATAGATGTCTCCCAGTTTAATCCAAATACAGATATTTCTACTTTTTCCATGTTACACTTTAGCACTTTAGCAGGAGTACCACCTGTACATAGGCTCAGCTTTTCTTAGCTCTGGGACAATTCTAAAATGCTGGCTCACATCTCCTTCAGTCGTCCAGTGGGAGTTCACGGGTTTCTTTCTTCCTAACTTACCACCAGAGGATTTTGAGTTGTATTTTTTAGCTTGTCCTTTATGTCTCTCTTGGGTTTATTTTAACCAGAATGGCTACTCAGCTGCTATAAAATTTTGAATGTTTGTGGAGTGATGGCTTTTTATACGTTCACTGGGAAGTCTTCAAAGAGTTCCTAGATTTTGTTAGAACTGCCGTTTATACTTTCATGTGATTTCATAATTAATGATTGCAATGATCACATTAAGGAATTGCTTTCACTGTGAGTGACTCTTTGCCATAGTTATGAAGTGAGGGCTCTGATGAGACCCATGTTCCTTTGCTGGAGTGCGAATTTCGCTTGCCTGTCCATCACAGCTGGCATTCAGGAAATGAGTTGGTCATTCATTCTGGGTTGTGACAAAAAATGTTTTGTGATGGGAGTCAGTGTCTTCTGTATACCCTGTCAACAACATCTTTTATGTATGATCTGTGTTAGCCTGGGGAAGGGAAAAACTGATTGTAGCCAAAGCTCAGTTGATATTTTTTGTCTGTCCTATTCTGAAGTTATATCTGTTTCATAAATGTCTAGAAAGTTGCCTACAAGTTGACTAGGAAGGTGACATAGTAACTAAAAGTCTCACAAGTTTTTTATATCCATTGTAAAATAGACTTTGAAGCTTGAAAATATAACTCAGTAAGTATAATCACAAATATTTGTATGTACTGAGCATAGGACTCTGATCCTGACGCTACTTCTTAATGGGGTTAAGATTTAGAACTACACCATGTCGTTACTGTTACACTTCAGTGAATGCTCAGGTACTGATTCAGGCAGGGTCTTATACCCAATGCACAGTATTAACAAAAGGTTCAGCACGGTTATCTGTGTAAGTGGTTGTAGGACAGGGGCCATTTTATAGCAATGTCTGATTTTACCTAATTTGAGTAAAACTCTAGCTGATGTTTTCAGAGATGCTTGGAATAAAACCACATAGCTCTAGAGAACTCAATAAAGACAACTTCATATCTAGGTCCTCTTATCAACTTCATATTGACTATTTTGTGTGTAAGTTTTATCTTGGCTAATTCACTTTTTTATAGCATTAATTGTAAAATGTTGAAATTATGTAGAAGAATATATAAAATATGTTGAAAAAACTCCTTTTCCCAGCTGGGTAAATAATAGTTTATTTTCAGTACAATATATATATATTTTAACAGAATTCTAAATTCATAACAGCTACACTTACAGTATCTTTTAAAAGACTTCAGCTGCAGTTATCACCACCAGATCTCAAACCTCCTTTAGGACCTAAAGTCTCTTCAGTATAGCAAGGAATGGTAATATATTTCTCATAAACAGTGTTCTAGCTTGTCCAGCTTAGCTGGAATCCTGATGGTAGAGTCACATATTCGGCATGAAATTTTATAAAGACTTGATGAGATGTAGCAGTAAATGGAGCGATGTTTGTGTCCTAAAATTAAAGACAAGAAGAATGAAGAGCTTTTAAGGACGTCAAGATCCTTTGGAAGAGCCAGTCAGAGAGTTAAAACTGAGGCACAAATTGGATCACGGATTGAAAATTACCTCAGGTCTATGCTAGATACTGATGTTGCATTTCTCCATCAGGGTATTACAAATACTTAAAACACAAATGCAACTAAATATGGAGCAGACTAGCTTGATGCATCCCACTAGATGTCACTATACGGTCTGAATTTGAAGGCTTCTAAGATGCTACACATGCCTTATGCCTTCACTTTACTTGTCTGTGTGGAATTCATGACAGAACTAGGGAAACAGCCTTGTGCATGAAACAGTAGAGATTCATTTTAAACAATTTCCGGGTTGAAATTGGCTTGAAAATATAACAGAAGGCAATACATACCATCCCACAGTATGGCCCAGCGGGGGGATAGTTGGCATCTGGCCCATTGTAGAGGATCAGATAGTTGCTACTGCAATCTCCTGGGTCATCAATGCTGATGAAATCAAAGTTCACTGTGACAATTCGTCCCCTGGGCACTGTAATGGTCCACTCACAGTCTGTAGTGTTGTGGTAAGTTGCTGGGTAGCTGGGACTGGCAAATGAGCCAGTGATTCCATATAGTGTTCCCCCACATCCTGAAAGCAGACACAGTTAATTGGCCTAGAAGGCTTAGTTTCACAAGATAATACATGATGTAGTACACTAGTATAGTATTAGTAGTAGCACTGAAAAACAGAGAGACTCTGTGGGCTGGAACAACAAATGTGAATAAGAACACTGTTCCAAGAAGAGATACAACCAAGGCTTTAGCTTCAGCAGCCTGAGAAGTATATGCAATGGGCATTAGATCCTCACTGGATATTAAAAACCAAAACCCCCCAAAATTCTTTGAAACTGGAACCAAAGTTTTTAATCTGTGCCTTGGTCAGTTCAGTTTCCAACTGCTCGACTAGAGATGAATTCTCTTTGGCAGTTCTTTGGCATGAAAAGTAGTGAATCCTCATCTGATACAAAAGTACAGAGAACAACTCAGAGAAAAATAGTCGTATTAAGTAAATTAAAGGCCATTTATATCAAAATTCATTCTTCAACAGGGGGCAGAAGCAGATGGCCTTGTAGAAATACAAGTTTATATAGTAAGAATGTGCAGGTCATGCCCCAGATTGCTCTCACAGTCTCCAAGATTTTTCGGTTCACAGCTCCCAGAGATGGCTCCTTTCTATTTACTAATGCTTATCAGATGACTTCCATGAACTTGTGCAGGTAGTCCTTGAATCTGTGTAAATTTGTAGCATGCTGTGGGAAGGAGCTCCACAGCTTAACTGCATACTTTGTCGAGAACTGCTTTGTTTAAGTGTGTTTTGAACCTACAAGCTCTTGGATTTATCTGATGGCTTCTAGTTCTACTTTGAGAAAAGTCAATGAACAGTTGATCACTCTTTATTGTCCAATATCACTCAGTTTTATGGACCTCAGTAGTTTCTTAACCAGATTTAAAAGTCTCAGCATAACTCATACAGAAGCCATTTTTTATGTCAAACTCTTTGTTAATCCCAGTTCTTTATAAGAGGAGGAGACCAGAACTGTGCACATCATTCAATTTGTGTGTGAACTAGGAATTTATACAGTGGCTGCCTATTTCTTCTCTATTCCTTTCCCAACAATTCTTATCATTGTGCCAGCCTACTTAACCCTTAGTGAGCAGTGAGCTTTTGTTTTCATGAAACTGTTTTACCCCTAAGATCTTGTTGTTGAGTCAAATCAGTGCCCTTTTTTTTTTTTTTTGTTGGTAAAGTTAGGATTGTGGGGTTTTTTGACCACATTCTTCATTGATACTTTCCTACATTGAGCTTTATCTGCCTTTTCATCCCCAGGCCACTCAGTACTGTGTGGCTATTCTACAGTGCTTTTCATGTGGCCATGAGCTTTCCTACCTCCAGTTACTCAGTGTCAAGGACAAAGTATTACCCAGCTGTTCTCTGCCATTTCATAAGCCATTTATGAATGTGTCTATGATATAGTAACTACACTGCATAGTAGTTAGCCTATTTTCTTGGGGCAAATTTCAGTGATGCACAATACAATTGCTCAGCACCCGCGGACCGGCGCAACCCAGAACCTCCCCCAGGATCGGCCCCTTCCTGCTTGTAACACCTGGCATGACGTGCCATGGTGGGGAATATCCCTTTGGCTGGTTCAAGTCACCTGTCCCGGCTATGCTCCCTCCCAATTTCCTGTGAATCTTCTCACTGGCAGAGCATGAGACACAAGCAAGAAAATGTCCTTGGTTATGATAAACACAATCCAGCAAAACCAAAACAACAATGTATTATCACTTCTGAATTCAAAACACTGCACTACACTAGCTACTGAGAAAATTAACCCCATCCTGGCTAAAACCAGGACAATCTTAAGTGGACTTCATCCTCTGAGGTTGCTAAAGTCAACATTAGAGAGAGGGAATTGCTTTCGTCTCATAAAATTAATCTTGCCACACTGGTCTCGAGGAGCAAATACCTCTGTCCAGTGACTGAAAGGGGTGGACTATGGGTGCTAGGGAAGGTCCAAAGTGTTGATGAGGCAGGGTCCAAGCAGAGCAGGCTGAATTCCACACTGCTGCTTTTCTCCTCTATGTAGGATTACTTTGTAATTACAGCCTTACCACTGGATGATGAAGTCCAAGTAATTTCATATCCATCATGAGCCCCTGCAAAATCACTCTTGAAACGAAGGTAGACAACATGATTTTGGGGAAAGATGGGGCTTGGCACAGTGTTTCCACAGAACCTGCCGAGCAGTGGTGATTGCACATCACTCCCATTTCTGACCTTCAAGGGACACAAAAAACATTGTCAATATTGAATTCCTATCCCAGTTACACACCAGTACAGTTATTCAGTGATACAAGTACAGCACAAAGTAGTGACTTGCATGCATATCAAGATCATTATTTGACCTACTATATATTCTTGTGTAGAAGTAGAAAGGCCATTAACCAGTCTGTCTGAGTTTTGTAAGCAATGGCACAGAACACATATCATCAGAAACAGGCAGCTAAATTGTAAGATATAGTACATCTCCTGACTGAAAAAAAAAATCACTTGACTAGTAGCTAAGATGTGTTTTTGCAATTCAAGTCCATGTTTTACTTTTCATAAGAAATGGTAATATTCCAGATGAAAAGATTAATTCTTTACCCTTCAGACCGCTCTTTTCCCTGGTCACATTAAGACACAGATCCTATTACATAGCTCAGATGTAATCTGATTTTTTTCTGCGCTCCAATAACACTGGTGCTCTGGTCTGTTTCTTGAGACAGTAAAAAGGATGTGAAAGGAGAACTAAGTAATCATTTTGCCAGAGATACCTGATTTTTGTCATCTGACCAGTGACTAGGGAAACCTTCAAGAATGAGGATATGCTTTTTATTGACACAAAATACCTTTGCAAGTATCCTGCACTTGTTACTAGAGCACTATGTGTTTGTTTTAAAGAAAAAAAAAAGCTTTTTCAGGAGAAAAGATCTTTTAAAGAAATATATCGAGTAGATGGAATCTACTGCTGGAACAAAAGCACTCAGATTTAAGGCTTTCTCATCATGTATGGATGTTAATATCAAATGCAGACTATTTCAGATTACTCTGTTAGCTTGGTAACATCAACAAGAGCTAGGTAAAGACGAGTTAGCTGATAAACTATTTATTCACTGGTTTTGAACTTACTATAGTGTGCATTGTTTAGCCTCTTACCATAACATCTAAGTCCCTTTCACCATAAAACCGTAGCAATAAATTAATTACTAATGTCAGGTCAGCTCAGACTTGATCCAAGCTTATTAATATCCTTTGAATTCAGCAGATTTTGACACAGGCCCACAAAATATGTATACTTGCTTGATACCTCTAGGAAATCACGTGTACACCGGATGCTGTCTTCCAAATTGAAAGCATGGAAAAAGAGAGATACTGTGTGATTCAGGGGAGCTCGTAGAATGATAGTACAGTCCATATTATTGGGGTGACGACCAGGCCAGCCAGGACTCTTCAGGTAACCAAATGCCTGGTTATACTCTCTGCTGCAACCTTGAGACAGAAAACCAGAAACATGTAAGGATTTCAAATCTCTCTATTGCTTTTCACTGTATGAAATAAACAAAGGGAATGGTAGATAGATTTTTTTAGACATTTCTTCAAGCTTACCTGTTGCTTGATAGGAAAATCTGACTCCATTGTTAGTCATATATTCATCTGACTTGAAAGTCACAATGGCAGTGCGATCATAAGAATAAAATTCAGGGACAGGAAAAGTTTCAGTGCCACAGAATCTATGGACTGATCCTTGGCTATGCTGGAATTTAATACATGTCACAGGTTACTTAATTATATAGTATGACTTTTCAACTTACCAAACTTGAGGGTAAGTAAATCACTCAACAATTTCTATACCAATTATGCCATTGCATTTTAAAGTTGTCATGGAAATCACTTAATAATGTCTTGACATTTTATGTTGAATTATCATGAGAAACATATCAAATGTCACAGGGATTTTCATGCCAAAAGGAGAAACAATAAATAAGGTTTAGAATAATATACAAGGGACATAAACATCGGGGATTTTTCTGGTGTCTTTTCACAAACACTCTTCTTGACATGAGTATTCATTTTTATTATGGTTCTTGGATGGGAGGAAGTACAAATAGTTTATGAAAATTTGCTGTCAGGCAGTATTTTCTGGGTGTTAAGTTTGGCAGCACCATTACTTGGTGCAACTGTGAAAAGCTATGTAACACTTCCCCAGGTCTAATTCAATGTGTGCTTAGTGTCCTTCCATGAAGTCTGTGTACTAGTTATCACGCTTGAATTTGGGGACAGTGCATAATGCTTTGGATGTGCCCCTTACACAGTATCATCAACCAATCTATTACCAGAGGGTAATAGATTCCAAAGAGTGAAGGGAGCCGAATGTGAATGGGGAATGGTATCCCCTGTAACTTTCTTACTGTTAGTGAATCCCGGAGCTCCAGGTAGTTCTGAGAGCAGTCCTGGTTGGAATGGAGGTGGAAGGCCTCTACCACCACCCTGACTTGCTGTTGTGGAGGGGCATCAATGACCCAAGTACAGAGAGTAAATGGTGGGTATTCATTTGGGAAGTTAGGAGACACTGCAGTCAGGGATGTAGAAGTTGCATTATATATTCCTCCACACAGGCCTGTGTAAAACAGTAACAAGTGCATCATAGAGTGAAAACCTTTTAAACTGGGAAAAAATACGTTTTGAGCAAAACTACAGTGGGTTATATACTTTTGTATTTACCTCTGAGTCCCTAGAAGGAAAAGAAATGTAAAACACATGCTAATGCTGTTAATGTATGTCATTAACCTCAAATAAATGTTTGTTCCTTCTTTGTTAACAACCTGTTTTGTGCTCCAGACTGACAGTCACCTTGCAAAAAGCCAAGACTAGAGAGAATTGCACTGAGGTCTAGCAGTGCTGCTTTCAACTTGCTTATAGATGCTGTGCTACATCCTGTCTTTGCCCCTTCCTGAGCCCTGTATCTAGAACACATTTTGATTAGTTATTATTTGAATAGGAATTTCCACAAAAGACTCCCAACAATATGCATGCATATGTATACTTACGTTCCACTGTGGCATAGGTAGCATTGAAACCCTCCCTTTCCACAGAATTGTCTGTTACAAGTTTCACAGTCAAGGAATTACGGGTAGAAAGAAAAGGAGCTGGCATGGTAGATCCACAGTACGTGCCAACTAAATTGGCATTTTCATTATCTCCATCATAAAGCTGAAAGAAGAAAAGTATATAGGCCGCTAATAGTTTAGGCACAACAACAAATAAAGAGAAATAAAAATCTCTGACTTCTCCTGACATTACAATATCTTTTACTTGAAAGCAGAGTATGTGCTTTTGTGCTTTTAACAGGATGTTAAAACAGGATGTTATGATGGCCTTAATTATTCACTGCCATGTTAACTAATTCTGTTGGACAGTGTAAATCTCATTATGGAGCATTCTGATCCTGTCTCAGGAAATCTGTCAAAAAATTATTATATTTTAATTTGGCATTCTGATTTCTTTATTAAATGTAATCTGAAAGTGCTTTTCAATGGTCATCAAAATGTAGCATGAATTCCGAGTTTCATGGAGTATCTCTAATGTTTAACAGGATCTATAATGCTCCTTGGTGGAGCTCCTATAGTGTTTAGCAGCATTCTGCTATCTGATATTTTGAATGCTCATCTCTGAGAAAATATCTTCCATGGGGGAGCACTGAGCATTAAATCTTGTTTATCCAAAATTTTATGAATTCAAGTCCTTTCAAGTAATTGTGTATAATAATGAATCTGCAAGCTAATTTTAAAAATGTTTGAGTTTTGTTTTGTTTCTATTCTGTGAAATAAATACTCGTTTGTAGGGGCAGCCTAAGAACAGAAATGTGTCCCCATAATGATGTTAAAACTCTTATTGGTTCCAAAAAGGCAGGATGACATCTGGAGTAGCAATCTAACACAATGAAAAAAAATTTAATCATATTAAGCAATTTAATTTTTTCTTAAGAACATTTTCTATTAATTAAGTTAGCCTCCTGGAGAAGATAATGGATTTTCTCTCTGATATTTTCTTGTTAAATATGCAGCTGTCTTACTTTGACATAATCATATCGACAAATCTGAGCAGATGGTGCTTCAAGCATGAATGAAGTGAATGTGAGGTTGATCAGTTTGTTTACAGGTGCAGTTATGATCCATACACAGTCCAGATTTTTCACATATCTTCTGGTCACATTGGAGACTGGAGGGCCAAAGGTATAAGCTGGAGTTGTCAAGTAACCACCACAGCCATTCTGAGGTCCTATTGAAGAAGCAGAAACTTTTTAAAAGCAATTCCTGACATTTATTTAACCTTCAACTCTTTAATGTCAAGCCAGCAGCTTTTTTCTGTGCTACAGTATTTTACTATTCTGTCTTGCAAGGACTATCTGAATGATTAAAAGACTTTCAACACAGAGATAGAAATCACAATTGGATTTCATAGCGCTAATTAAGAAGGGCTTATGTTTTCTGTTGAATATAAAAATAGTATCTATTTTGAAAACGTAGCAACAGATGTTTTTAAAAGGGACAGGAAGAAGACGGAGAACAGAAATGAACAGTGAAGGCCTTTGAACAGGATTCTTGCTGCCGGCAAGAATATTTGGTCAGTAGGGGGCACTGGGCTGTTGGCTTTGAAAGTGTGGTGTAAAATCAAGTTGCTTATTTTGGCAATACAATCGCGTCGGGGGGGGGATTGAATTTGGCAGCCTGACGCTGGGACTCACACTCAGGAATCTAGCTAAAAGGGACTTACTTCTGGAAGCATTTTGCTTGGTGGGAACTTACAACGACTCTGAAAAACAGGCTGCTTTTCATTTGGATCCCACAGGGAAGGCTAAGTCCTGGACTTACTGTGAAAATTTGAACCCTGTAATGTCAGTCACATTGAAAGAAATTCATTTTGGAGAAAAGCGGTTATTAGAAGATCAGGACCTCTTCATTGCAGCGAGTTACAAATGAGTAAAAAATACAGACTGTCTGAAGGGCACTTTTTAAATTTTATTTTTTTTAATAGTTTGATTTCCAGAGGTTGGATTGAACTGGTAATTGTGATCAATTTATTTGCTTCCTTCCCTAGTCTTTATGGGGTCTTCTGGTCACTTATTTAACTGAAGAATTCAAATAAAATATGATTCATGCTCTTGCTTCTCAGTCTGAGAAAGAGTTTTTGCAAACTATACAGAGCAAAGCAATAACTGCAAGTAGCCTGTTGTCTCCCACAGCAAATCCATTTATGAGGATTTGATAATAAAGGAAGCTACAGCTGTGGCCAAGCGACATGAACGATGTTTCAGAATTTCATCTGCATGTGTAAAATAAGCCTGTCTGGCACATTCAGTGACTTAACCTTGACACGCTGATACATTTCCAGACATATAAAACTGTGCCCTACTTGAGCTGCAGTATTACAAAAGATTGGTCTTGTGAAAAATCCTCATCCCAAGCATCAGGATTGCATCAGTAACCCGGGGCCGGAGGGAGCCCTGCCTTGCGAGACTGTAATGGTTAAACCCGAGTGACTAATGTTAAATGTCGTCCTGCTCCACTAACCAAAGCCGGAAAAAACCCCACCCTGCAAAGAAGTTTGCTTAAAACCAAAATCTTAATAGCATGAGATTTCAGCTTCTGCTATAGCTAAAAATGAACAGAAGAAACAGTGAAAAACTCAGGGACTAACAGACTATAGTCCAGTTTGTGGGCAGTTAACGAAGTCAGAAAACTTGAAAAAGTGTTTGTGTTCATTCCAGTGCCACTGCAGAAGGTGAGAACAACAGCAGGGGAAATGTGAGCAATAAATCACATTCTTACAAATAATGCAGGAAGGAAGAAAATGTCAGACAGAAGGGTGTCTGAGCCCTAAGAGTACAGTTTCACTATATTTTTCTCTTTGTTCAATCTTCTGCATGATTTATTCAGTCACCCTGGAACAATCACGTTGGAGCCATTTCCTGCTCAGCATTTCGGACACTGTCGACTAAACATTAGCATATAAACGTCATTCACAGACCATAGTCTGACCATCCAGCCAGGCAGTATTGAGTCTGGACTGATACATGGGTCAGACACTTACAAAGCTCCCCTTAGAGTTGCAGAGATGCCAGCCAGACCATGGCAAAAGGAGTCAGGGAATTGCCACAGGGCCGTGCAACAGGAAGGCTCTCAGTCCTTCTGGATTGTTCTGTTTTTGAATATCAAATGTCTGGACCTCTGCAATGGTGAACTTCACTGCTAGCTGTGCAGCTATAAAGACAGCTTGGATGACCATACAGGTGTGGGTAAGCTGTGTGTGTACAGCACATGCAATTGCCCTGACAGAGAGAGAAGCAGGCCAAATCCTCATTGTCAGGAAATTAATTCTAGCCAGTATAGTATAGCCAGTAATAGCATCCAAGTGGAGATAAATAACTAGGTGTGATTTATAGTTAATAAAGAAGGTTTCATCATTAGCTTTCACAATGTCTGGTGTGCTAAGCCAGGTTCGAGTCAGATGCTTACAGGACAGTACATTTATAAACAACAGCTAGACTGGAAGCTGACTAGATATCAAATAGCCCTGCATCAAGCCAATAAAGAGCAGCCCTTGTTAAAAATTCTATCCATTTTGGTGCTTTTCAGTACTGGTTGATGTTATATCTGATTGCAGCCACTAGAAGTTACACAATAGTGAAGCTGTGTAGATCGAGGGAACACCCACAAATAAATGAAGAACCAACTGCTTATCAGAAGGGAACTCATGCTAAGAGGAAGACTATTGCAATGCATTGTAGCCAGCACACCAACACATTGCTTTAAAGAGTAGTCATCCAGCCTGCTGGTGGTCTTTAATGACATGGTACTCATCACTGGCTAACACAGCCAGAAAAAAATGTAGCTTATATTTAGGCAAAATCTGCGATTGCAAAGTCTGTTAATTTGTAGGATAGGCTCTTAGGTATTAAAAGCTAAACTTGTTTAAAATAATGAGAAATGTACCTTATAGAACAATTTGTATGTCAGCAGATGGACCACCTATATGGCTGACTGTGTTGTTTCAGTCTCTGGTTTCTTATTTAAAATACAAATGGTAAGGTCATCATAAATCAGATGGCAGTCTCGTCCTTCTCATAAACAGCTTGCCAGAGAACACAAATTATCAGAAGAACTAGGGCACACACTGTCAGCACTAATTGCTTTTGGTGGGAAACGTTAATGAAACTAAAAGGCTGAAGGACCATTCAGAAAATAAGGAATTGAAGGTTCCCTATGGCAAATAAAAATCATTACAGCAGAGACCAAGCACATGTTAAGAGTTATACCCTCTAGATATGGAATGAAGATAAATCTTTGAAGCTGCCTGCCTTTGAAGCACAGCCAGGGGAGTGAGGCTCATTTATACAGGTATAGCTGCAATGAAAGGGAGTCTACTGAGTAGTTTGAAATCTATCAGAATCAACTAAACCAATGGCATTTCAAAACACAATAAAGTAATTTTACTGTCCTTCCCTTCTTTAACAAATGAACACCCCAAATGGCTACTGGAAGGCAGCAAAGTTCAAAGAACTGTTCTAGTTCTGAATGACAGTAATGAAAATCTCCTCCCAGATTTCTGAATGTCTTTTGGTTTCTCCTAGAAGCATCACTGGGAACTCCAGGCTTCTCTCTGATCTGAACTAAAGATCAGAATATGCAAAGATTAACTCAGTCAAGACTAATGTTTCTTTTCTTATGCATCTTATTTCTAGTGCAGAGGAGTGGCTGGACTTAATGTGCTTGTAATAATTAGTTCATAGCTTGTTTGGATAATGGCTTCAAACAGCAAGGCTCAGAAGGACATAGGGCTGGATGGGGGAATTGTCCTGTTCTACCTTTGTCTCATGGCTGATACTGAAGGTTGGTAAACCTTCACGAGATGAGCTGAGCTGTTCCCACATGTGTCAATCACTGTACCAACATCATGACTTTGTGTGGCTGCAGGACCCTGGCAGCAGTGCCAACCTGACCACAGCCTGCAGCATTTCAGGACACCTCTGAAAGCACAGGGCCCTTTTTAGTCCTTAGCCTAGTCTTTTTGCAGAAAGGTTTTTTGACTGGTTTGATGGCCTGGCAGTGGTGCCAGCAGTGACATTTAAGACTGCAAAGCCCCAGTATCCTGCTTTAGCAGGATTTCATAACTGCAGTCAGATGAAGTTCGTATTTTTAAAATTTTTTGGGCTGATACCAAACACAACAGCCCAGATATGCACTGTGCCAAGTAATCTATGTACTGTCCTATCCATTTACTTGATGCTTGTCTGGGTGACCAGAGGGAGACATGCAGTCTTCCTGCATTCTGATGCTTTGTAATACTGCACTAGTGTCCATATTTGGCATCAGAGCTGCCCAGGCCTTTGCAGATCTCTCTTGTGAGGTGAATCAGAAATGTCTCCTCACCTTTTTTCATATGCACCAGAGGCCAGATTTTTAGCTGAAGAAGTCATTGACTTCAGTCAAGCTAAGACAATTCATGTCAGCAGTTTACCCACAGTCATGTAAAGTGCCATTAATCTGCATATCCCATTGGCTTTAGCCATTCAGTCACTACATTGTCAAGCACTCATTGTGTCCGAAAATGTTTTCCCCTAATATTTTCAGATCAGTCAGAAATATTGTATTTAAATATCTGCTTCTCTCATCTGTCCAGTTTGATCTTGCAAGTGCCTTTTATTTATTTTGCTTTGGAAGAAGAAATCCTTCACTGGACATATTCAGGAATCATCTGGAGGCAATCCTGTGCCATGTGCTCCAGGATGATCCTGCTTCAGTGGGAAGGTTGGACCAGATAACTCACGGTGGTCCCTTCCAAGCTGATCTATTCTGTGGCTCTGTAGTTAAATAATTGACAGTTCTGAGAGGGTTTTGTAATCTACCCCTTAGCTCAACAGTTGTATTCTTTTCAAAGATACCAAGGAGATGTATTTCAACACTGAAAGTGTCTTCTAAATTTAGTCAGATTTCAAGTTCATGTATATTTTTATATTTCAGTCCCAAAATGCATTTAGAAACAGTCTGGGAATTGTGACTTATGAACATGTAGTCTGAGCTTGTCATGGATGTTCTTATTTTCATAAACTATAATAAGATCAAGAAAAGATATTATTAGCCACAATTTGTTCATTATTTTAATAGATTAAACTAATTATAGTTTAGCCATGACAATGCAATGAAATGTGCAATACTAATGTGTAATACATTTGGCAAAAACTGCATGACCCAAAAGCTCAAAGAAATTTCTGCCAGAAG